GAATGTGACAAGTGTGTCTATATCATAAACACACTTAAATAATACGTTATCATATGCCTAGGGGCGGACGTAGAAATATTTAGTTGGGGGCACAATCAAACTCTGTAAAAATCGGATATTTTGTTATTAATTTTTGAATAATTTATACTCAACCCGAGAAAATTCAAATTTACATTTAAAAAACATTTACTCATTAATATTTTACTCATCATTTTCATCCATTTGATTTCGAACTATCAATTTATTAATATTTTGCTCATTACAAGAAAATTCATATTTACGTTTAAAAATCTATAGTGTATTTAATACATACGATTAATTCAAGTGATCAAAAGGAAAAAAATATAACCAATATTCAATCAAATTAATACATTTTGTTAAATATAAATTAAATTGAATATAGTCAGTTTAGAAACATTTTATGTACACAAATAGGATAGGAGAAAATGTAAATTCAGGTTCTAATTAATTGAAAAGTGAAAATTTGTAGTAGATGTGATAATTTGTAGAAAAATTATAAAAAAAATTATAAAAATTAGAAGGGTTAAAGTTTTGATAAAAGGTGAGAGAGAGAGAGAAATTCAAATTTATTGTAATTTTGCCCTTATTTGGTAAGGGGTCAAAATCATATTTTTAGTAAATTTTGATAAAAATTAAAAAGTTAAGGATTTTGTGAAGTATGTTATTAAAATTAATTATTAACTTTGATTTAGATTAAAATTTAGATTTCAATTAATAGCAAACAAGACTTATCAAAAAAAAAAAAAAAAATCAAAGTTGGGTGATCATGTAGGACCTCCCTTGGGTCCACCCCTGTGTTTGCTTATTCCTTGATGATATGTTAATCATGGAAAATAACTCGAACATCATATCCTTAATTAAGAAAATGTTGATCAAACATTTTGACGTGAAAGATACGGAAATTGCGATTGTGATATTAGGGAATAGGAATTAAGATTTCTAAAACACTTAATGGTTTGTCTTTGTCTCAATCACACTATATTGAGGCTATACTTAAGAAATTTAAGACATATGATGATAAACTGGTTAAAACACTAGTAGACTTATGTTTACACTTAGCCAAAAATACTGGTAATCTCGTATCTAAATTGGAATATTCGTGTGTTATAGGCAGTTTGATGTACATTACCAATTGCACGCGTCCGGATATAGCATATGTAGTCAACGAGTTGAGTAGATTTACAAGTAATCCGAGTGTTGATCATTGGAAGGCATTAACTCGAGTATTTAAATAATTAAGACACACAGTTGGGTATGGATTACACTGTTCAAGATATCCTACTATGCTAGAAGGATCACTACAAAAAAACTTGCATCCAACGACCAATCTTATTGGTCACTAAAAGGTTTTTCCTAGTCGTTGGAGCCCTTTTGCCACCATGTATCTGTGGTCGCTTAATGGTCGCAAATTCGCCGTTGGTAAATCTCTTCAACGACCATACATACTGGTCGTTGTACATGTCATCTCAAACGACCACATACTGGTCGCCGTAGGGTTTGATTTTTGGTAGCTGATAAGTTGATTAATTTGTTGATTCACTGTCGTCAAATGTCTTTTGCGACCAAGATAGATGGTCGCTGAGTGTTAGATATTTAGCGACCAACAAGGTCACGAAAAGGAGTATGTTTTGGTCGCTCATAATTGTTAGAAGTTTGTTACTTATACTCTTTTGCGACCACACTTTGGTAGGTAAATATACTAGAACAAAATATTTTCACACTAACAACAACCAATGATTGGTTGGTGAAGATAATGAAATAGTGACCAACCTATGGTTGGTGAATAGTGCTACCTTTCGTGGACCAATCGTTGGTCGGTAAATATTGATAACTATAGTGACCAATCATTGGTCGGTGAAGAACAACAATTTTTTCATTATGTTTCAGTGACCATAATTTGGTTCCAGAATGATATTATCAACCAATATGTGTCGCTAGACGTATGTATTAATACTTTTATATTAACTATTCTTTTATTCCTGCTAATAATTTGTCCAATATTTCAATTTTCAACCATCATAATTACTAATTTAGCAATATCGAAAACTATAGAATATTAAATTTAACAAATATGTTCTACAAAAGAAAATTGTATTGCATAGATAACTACTAATAGTCAATGTATAATCATAAATGTCTAATATTTAACCAGGAAAAGATAAATTTTAACTTCAATAATGTAATTAAAGTACTGCAGCACCAACTGATGGCGATGGTGGAGGCGATGGAGGTGGATCATTGGTTGGTTCTGTTGGAAGATGCTGACTCATATCCATTTGTGCAACATGGCTCTGGATAAGTAATGCTTGTTGTTCGAGACTTTGTGTAAGCTCACTAATAGCTTTATCCTTCTCTTTATCTCGTTTTGTAAGAATTTTCAACTGTTGCATCAATTTAGGGGGAGCCGTAACTACGTTGTTAGCAGGTCCAATCCCAGAAATAGTCCCAGCACTCTTACCAAGATCTTGAGCACATATTTCTGCTTCATCCATTATAGGTGCTTCATCTTCAAGCTCTGCTTGTGATTGTTGTAACTCCACCATTTCTTTCTGTCGTACAATAGAAAAAGGTTGTTAAAATAAATAATATTAATGTTAAGATCTTTGTGTAATAAATGATATATCTTACATATCGAGACTCGACTAGTTGGTTGTCCCATCCTTTTGATGTGGAATGCATCCTCCTAAACAATTCAATATGTCCAACTAATTCTTCATTTGTAGACTGAAAAAGGTGGAGAAAATGTCATAATATAGTCAAATTAGAAAATAATTGATAACCTCAACATTTTACCAAAGTAGTGAAGAGTATAAAACCTGTCGAAGTTTAAATTCAACTAAACATATCCCACAGAACTATTGCCTCAGGGACTGAAAAGCATATCCAACAACATTTCAACAATATTTAATGACAGTCAAGGGATAGAAAACATGTTAATACTCCTTCTAGAAGTCAGCCAACATTCTAATGACAACCTTTTTTTTAAAACTAATTTCATCATTTTCAGAAATCAAGTCTACTTTTTGAATATGTATTCTATGAAGCACACTTAGAAGTTGAAATAGTCTTGTAAAACTGAACATGAAATAATTATGTCGGATCAACCAAAAGATAGTTAATTATTCCTATTTCAACTAAAGGAAGCAAATTTAAAATATTAAGCCTCATACTCGAGCCTAAACTAGGGGAAAAAAACACCTAATTCATCATTTAAGTCCAAAGGGTTATAATTCTAACATAGTGAGCAATGATAAGTAGACTAGTGATATATATTAACAACAATTAATAAAACATTTCAACTTAAGAAAATTGAATGCTATTTAACCAACCAACTTTAATTGCTTAATAAGCCAGACCAATACTCACTCTAGAAGTCAACATGTTTAACAAAAACTACTGATTAAAAGTGCAAGAGATTAAGTCTATTGGATTACCAGTGATTCCCTAGTTACGGTAAATGATCTAGTCCCTCCATGGTGATTATAAAGAAGCTTCGAACGATTGAGTTTCCTAGCTGCAGATCGTTTCTTAGAACCAACAACAATATCTCAAAGTGAGTAATTTGGCATCTCAATCATTCCGCTTTAATTAGCAATATTGTAAAGTAGTATAATAACATAACATACCAAAAACTTATCACTTTCAAAATGTGCACACATCCATTCCCAATCCTCTTGTGATTTAACAATTGATGGCCTACATTGTAGATCTTTTCCATCCAATTTTAACTATTTATATTTTTTATTACATGCACTTCTGTGTTCTTCGTATCTCTCACGATAATGTCTTTCAACAATTTCAACCATCTGTTGATCATTTAAGTCAACATCAAATTTTTCCTGAACCAAGAGAAAATAAGACTTTAGTGATTATAGTATTAAGCATAATCCAAATGAATTATAAAATTTACTTACAAGAAGACGATTATAGGCTAATTCTCTATCATGAGGAGTTGCCTGACTCCAACCAGTCAAGCGTTGTGAAACAACGTTTCGCATGATGACACCAATCTCATTAGCAAATGGCGAGGATGTCTCACCAAAGGTATGCATATCTCCTTCCCTGGCTTGTACAACTAATTTTTTCTTACTAACATCCATTATTCTCTGAGATGTCAAACCATGATTAATTCCTCGCTTTCTTTTATGAAGAGAACCTAAAAGATAATTAAAGATAATTAATATTGTTGAATATGAAGAGTCGGCCCACATTATCTTAAAAATCATTAAATACATACCATTGGACGACTCTTGCTCAGCAGTATCCACAAAATCAGTAGGATCTACACTAGATTGAGTAGTCCTATTATACATGATTGAGCTGTAGAAGGTATCAAAATAGGAATGTGTAATTGATTAGAGTGCTCTCCTTGTTGACAAGGAGATGGTTTGACTTTCTTTTCAGTGGCATCTGTATTTGTATTAAGAAAACAAGCAAAGCAAACACGGTGAAGAAATGAATACTTATTATGATTAAACTTTACAACGTTAATTAATTGTATATTAGCAAACATACAACAAATCCCACACCCAAGATCATAGCTTCTTTTCCTTCCCTTCTCGTATATAGCTCACCTTGCTAATCATACCTTATGTGATTAAGACAACCAAATAGTAAGAAACCATACCATATCAATGAAAGTTTCAATTACATTAGTCTAACTCTAGTTAGAAATCTTCAATTAAGATTCATTTCTTATTATTCTAATAAGAATTAATGAAAACAAAACTTAATTATCCATGAAGATTCGTAAGAAGTTCATTGGATATGGCTTTGTTACAACTTCATTTAAAATGGCAAATGAGTTATTTAGTACATAGTTACGTAACGAACAACTATTCAAATGAGTCTAAATCATCACTGTCTTCACTATTCAACAACGGTTCATCTTCGATTTCCATATCACTAAGACTACCGACCAATGTATCTTCATTCACTTCTTTATCTTGCAATATTACTTGTGTTGGACAAACATCTTCTCAATTAAGTTGCTCAATGTATGTTAATTCGAATGTTATCTCAACATCTTTAGAACTTATTTCTTGATAAGCTTCACTTTCACCATGCTCAACATTATTGTCATTACCATCTCTTTCATCCAAATTGTCTGGAACATCCAACACATGACGATGATGGAACTTTTGAACCACCTTCCAATTTTGACCCAGTTTATAATCATCCACATAGAACACTTGGCAAGCTTGTCTAGAGAGCACATAAGGTTCATTTTCATACCAATGTGCACTTATGTTGATGCTCGTGATGCCAATGTCTGTGTGTATATTCTTTCTACTTACATTTGGGTCATACCACGTGCACTTAAAAAGTTCAACTTTGTGGTCAAAAGTATAATTCAGTTCAAGAATCTCCTCAATTAGTCCATAGTAATCACAACATTCAACTTCAACCCAAATGCTACTATTTTGTGTGACACGTCCAGCATCACGTGATTTGGTGCGATACCGAACTCCATTCACATCACATGCTCTATAGGATTTTATTTTGTAATTTGGTCCACATGCCAGTGTATACAACTCTTTGCTTACATTAGGATCCTTACATAAATATAACGATTTGATCCGTGAAAATGCATGCATAACAATTAGATGGTAACATAATACTATATTTTAAAAAATACAAATATTTGAGCTTGGAAAAGAACTTACTTTTTCTTTAAACCAACCTGGAAATTCTTTCTCACATATTTCATCAATGTTAATAACACCTCTATTTTGCAATACTTCAGTGTGCCCGCTGTAATTATGATGTAATTAGTATTATCATGTACTAACTTATAATAATGTTACAAGTATTATATGGAAAGTCCGTACATTATGTAACGTTCCAACTCCATGCAATTATAAAGAATGTGCCAATGAGCCTTATTCTTTTCGTCATGTGACAGCTCAAGGTATTGAATGCTCCCAAATGGCTTTGCTAGTTGAGTGAAAACTGATAAAGTTGACTAATTTTGCTTATCATAGCCCCCAGTACGTTCTGGTATGTTGAATTGAGTTTCAATACCACGAAGGTACATCGAACAGTAAGTCAATGCCTCCTTATTGACATATCCCTCAGTAATTGAACCTTCTGGACAAGCTTTGTTTTTCACATATTTTTTCAATGTTCCTAAAGTTCTAAAATGAAATAAAACAACCATTACTTAGGATGCATACATACTTACTTGCGAACATGATTATCTTAAAAGTGTTGATATTACCTTTCAAATGGATACATCCAACGAGTATGCACTGGTCCATCCATCTTCGCCTCATAGGGTAATTGGACTGCTAAATGGAACATGATATCGAAGAAGGCAGGAGGAAATTTTTTTTCCAACTTGCACAATGTAATTACAATCCCATCTTGCATAGCGTCTAAGTCTGAAATAGTAAGCTTCCGAGCACAAATTTTTTGGAAGAACATGGCTAACTCAGTTATTGTAGTACTAACCTCCTTATTGACATAAGGTCTTATACCTATTGGAAAAAGCCGCTAGAATAGAACATGACAGTCATGACTTTTCAAACTCGTGATCTTACCATCCTTGACTTTTACATTCTTTGAAATATTTGTAGCAAATTCATCTAGAAATTGGACAGATTTTATAAACTTACAAAACTCTCTTTTCTCATCCAATGTCAACGAATAACATCTTATCGGCTTCAAAACTCGATTACCATGACGTTGCAAACGCAAATGCTTTCGGATTCCCAAGTCCTCTAAATCCATCCATACCTTAACAGTATCTTTTGATTTACCCTCAATACCCAACATTGTTCCAACCACATTTTCACATATATTTTTCTCAATGTGCATCACATCCAAGATATGTCTTATTTTCAACTCAAACCAATAAGCAAGTTCAAAAAATATACTTTTCTTTGTCCAATTTAATTCACATGAATCATGTTTTCTCTTCCTATCAACATTATCAGGATGTTTTCTTGGTTTTTCCTCTCTTACTCTGTCTAATTGTTGTAGCATTTCAACTTCTATAAAGTTTCTTGGAGCTGGCGTCCGTTCAGACTTTCCATCGACTTGTGTATTATTCCTCCAAGCATGGCGTATAGGTAAATTTCTTCGGTTTCTGAATGGTTGTGACAATGTGTCTTCTTTACATATAGGACATGCTTTATAGCCCTACGTACTCTATCGATATACTATCCCATATGCTGGAAAGTCATGTATCATCCACAACATTACTGAGTGCATTCTCAAATTTTCATTTGTTGACACATTGTAAGTCATGACACCTCTATCCCACAAATCTATCAACTCATCAATTAAAGGTCTTAGATATATATCAATATCCTTTCCGGGTGCCTGTGGACCAGGTATTAATAACGACATCAAAAAAAAAATTCTCCATCATACATATCCATGATGGCATGTTATATGGAACCAATATCATTGGCCACATACTGTATCCGATGCTCATGTTACCAAAAGGGTTAAATCCATCAGTCGCAAGACCTAAACGAACGTCTCGGGTTCTGCAGAGAATGTTGGAAATTTTTCATAAAAGTGCTTCCATGCTTCTCCATCAGCTGGATGCTTTAACACACCTTCTTTGTTAGGATGCTTCTCTTTATGCCATCTCATATCAGCAGCATTATGTCGAGACTTAAATAGTCACTGTAATCTTGGAGTGATAGGAAAATATCGTAAGACCTCATGAGGAATACGTTTACCCTTAGCATTTTGAAATTTGTAACATGGTTCAGCACAGATAGGACATTTATCCAAATCTTTATTCTACTTCCAAAATAGTGCACAATCCCACTTACATGCATCAATTGACTCATATCCTAAACCAAGTTCTCGTAACATATGTCTTACCTTGTATAGTGATTTTCCAATCTTAGTTCCTTTTGGAAATGCTTCCCTCAGTAATTGAAGTAACATGTCAAATGACTTGTCACTCCAACGATTTAACTCCTTAATATTTGTTAACTTCACTATAAATGTCAGTGCAGAAAATTTGGTACAACCTGGGTATAACTCTTTTTCAGCTTGTTGAAATAGATCCGAAAAATCTTCTTTAGATGTATTTTGTTCTTCGGGAAAACCATCTCCAGTAACATTAAAATACATTCCCCCTGCGGCATCTTGCAATGCTGCCATCATATCATCATCTTCCCCATCATCTTGGACACCTTCTGAATCATCATCAACAGCACTTACTGTCATTGGTTCTATGAAAAATCCAATTTTGATAATCTCAAGAAAATCCTTTCACCCATAAATGCCGCTCAACCACATCAATATTTTGAATGTATACATTATGACAACGCTGATAAGGACGAGTCTTGTTATCATTGTCTAGATGATTTTTTGCCAGTTCGATGAATGATTTAACCCCATTAGTGTATTCATCTGACAACTTATCTTGACACCATATCCAACTTTTATTCATGTTGATACCAGAATTTATGTAACTGAAATAGATAAATTAACAAAATGAGAAATGAGAAAGAACAAGATAAACATAAAAGGAAAAAGGGAAAAATGCATTTAAGTGTTACTGGAGATGGTTAACCCATCAAAATGCATATAAGGGTATTTTTGAAAGGTGTCCAAAACTTGGAGAACACAACAATACTATAGAACAGGTAAACATGGAATCATTAAGTGAAATCAAAGCTCATCAAGGAAAGACAACTGTAAAAATAAAAATATTACGCTTTTGTCCACACGCTTCCCTCACTAGTGAAGTTACAAGACTAATATAGAACTATTAAATGACATTTATAAAATAACTATATCTATAAAATCCAAGAATTTAGAAGCAGCACATCACATTGATACTTGTGGACATAATAACCTTGATGGCTGACATAATCATATAATTATGAATCCAATATTGCAATTGAACTTATTTCAACAAATTCAATCTTTCCTAAATATACCTAAACTCAGAACAGCTCAATTAATTCCAAAACACTTTTACCAAACCAAGTAGACTAGGAAGTTTTCAGAATCTCCAACATTTTTAAGTCAAGTAAAACTGCAGCTTCTAATAACACACAGCAAATGCTTTACCTGATCTACGTAGCAAAGGGCAGAAATTTCTTCAAGTTAGGTTGCCTGAAAAAATTGAGGCAAAAAGTCATTGCATAATTCCCTGTTGTAATGATGAATTGGAAAACACAGGCAAATGCACTATCCCAATTTGGCACTCTCGCACACATACATGAGCAATGGTTTTTAAGGGTATGGGAACATATTATAAATCTGCTCTACGTCCACCATTCATATTGTGAATAATCAACTACAGACGAAACAACTTAGAAGATCTGGATTGAATGCTTAATGCCACCATCTCCGTATCTTATCGAATCTTAACTAAAAAACAGAAATATGCAATCAAATTACTGATTTGTAGATTTCACAAAAGAAACCGTAAGTGGAATGGCATCAAAATACTTCATTATAGTCTCAATATTAGCATCCATGTCGATCTGGCAAGTGACAAGAAAAAACAAGCGAATTCGACAAAACAAATAGTCCTACTACGGTAGAGCAATGCAGACAAGTAGATTTATAGTTTCAATTAGAGATCTAATCTAAAAACACGTAGAGGCAGTTATGAAAATCGAAAAAACGAATTACGCAATGAATCGAAAAATGTATTACCAGCCAGTGAGAGAAAACTATTATGGAGTCCCAGCAAGAAAACTAGTGAAACCAGCATGGAAAGAAATAGAGACCCAGAACACTCATAACAATCATCTAATTCAAAAACAAAAAAGAAATACAAGATGAACTCACTGAGATGCAGAGATGCAATGGCAGCGACAGCGGCTTGAAGAAGAAGACGTGGAGAAGGGTTTAATTATGGCGTTTCCTCTGCCTCTGTATTTGGAAAGTTAATAGATTTACTTATTTTGAAAATCAATTGTAATTGGGCTATGTTTTTAGGGCCATGTTTAATGGAGATTAAAATTATAATTTTGGAATTAAAATAAGTTCTCTATATATTTTAATCTCTAAATTAAAATTATAATTGATGAAATGTTGATGAAGTGTATAAGGGATTAGAGTTTATGATAAAATGAGACTGTCGCAAGGCAAAATAATGGTTTTTGATTTCATGATAATTTCGGGTTTGTTCATTTTAGGCGAATTGCTAGCCTAATTCGATTGGAATCCATCGTTTAGGCCATCGTTTATGCGTTTTTGCTATTTATCGTAATTTTTGTTTTTGCAATATCTCTTTCCATAAAATTTGGATTTGTATTCCGTTTGTTGGAGGATGATCCTGAAGATAAGGATTTTCCATCTTAGTAGTTATCTCATATTTTTCTATTTTTGGAAAAATATCTTTTTTATTCTATTTTTCGAATTTTGCTAGATTTTTTCTATTTAAAGTGTTGTAAGCCATTTGAGGCGGCAGTTCTTGAATTCAATAAAAAAAATTTAAGAGTTTTCTCATTTTTTGATTGTTCATCTTTCCTATAATCTTCCGCTACATCAAATGTACAGTTGAATTAATTCAAATATGAAATAAATATGGAATGAGAGTATAGCTTTGTATTGGATTGATTAATTTCTGAATTATATTTTATTGCAATGTAAACATTCATGAAAAAGTTGGTCTATTTTAAGTATGAACGACCTAATAAGCGACATTAAGATCTTTGTCATGATGTTCAACTAGTTTGGATTAAATTCCATCGTTTGACTCCAAAAATATATACTTTTTTCAAATCTTAAATCTATTTATTTAGAATTAATTAGAAATATTTGGGAATCTAGTTTTTGTAGGTTGCAAAATATCACTTTTGTTGTATTATGATCCGGTCCATTTTCAATAATAATGTAATTTGGTTGAGGGATCGGGGTCAATTGGGTTGTGGCCTATAAAACCAACCCTATGAGATTTACCACAAAGCAACAATTAGTATTGGTGATGAGGTTCGTGTGCAAGAATAGGCACTTGTGTATATGAAACGTTTGGATGGTCGGCGTTCAGAGAAATTGGCGTAACTTTTGCATACGGTGTCCGTTTTGAGCACATAACCCCATTCCGGAAAGCTCGCAATGATTCTGGATGATCTCGCAGTATTGTTGTGATGTATAATGGATTTTGACCATTTGAATTTGTTTATTAGGTCAAAACGGCATTCAAAGGTTCTTATTTTATTATTCTCAGTATTTGTTATTCTCACTTTGTAACTCAACGTATTAAAGCATTGCTGGCCTAGTAGGTTATCTATTTTTTTCGTATTTAAGACCCTAAAATGTCTCTTAGGGTTTTTTGGTTGTTCGTGAAATAAGAAAACGTTTGTAAAGTGAGTTCAATCCGTTTGAGTTGTTAGTATCGTGTGTTTATAGATTCGATCTACATCAATTGATCACTAGAAAATGTCAAAATTCATTGAAAGAAAAAGATGAATTTTATTGTGTCAAATGTTTTAGCGACTACAACATCGGTGGTTGAAGAGATATGGGCTTAACCACCATTTCAAAACCAATGAAAAAAGCAGGATAAAATTGTACTAACTTTTTTAGCTACTAAGATAAGAGTGGTTGCTGTTGACTGGGATAAGGGACAATTCATTGGTTGTTGGAGTAGTGCAATATTCAGTAACCATCGTTAGTAGTCGCTAACAATGCCAAAACTAATGAAAAAAGTGGGATAAAATTGTGTCAACTATTTTAGCGACCAAGGTATGAGTGGTTGTAGAAGACTAGTATCAAGGACCATTCCATGGTCGCTATTATGGTGTAGTAATTAGCAACCATCACCTTTGGTCGCTAAAAAATGCAAAAACCAAATGAAAAAGAGCGGGATTTTATTGCTCCAAATATGTTAGCGACCATGACATTGATGGTTGCAAAAGACTAGGAGTTGGGACCATTCAGTGGTCACTTTTGCGGTGTAGTGTCAGCAACCATTGCCTTTGGTCGCTACAACATGCAAAGACCAAATGAAAAAAAAAGAGGAGGATACAATTGCGCCAAATCTTATAGCGACCATGACATCAATGGTTGCAGAAGGCTAGGATCTGGGACCATTTAGTGGTCGCTTTTGTGGTATAGTGTCAGCAACCATTGCCTTTGGTCGCGAAAACATACAAAGACCAAATGGAAAAAGGCGGGATAAAATTGCGCCAAATCTTTTAGCGACCATGACATCGATGGTTGCAGAAGGCTAGGATCTGGGATCATTCAGTGGTCGCTTTTGTGGTATAGTGTTAGCAACCATTGCCATTGGTCGCTAAAACATGCAAAGACCAAATGAAAAAAAAGCGGGATAAAATTGCGCCAAATCTTTTAGCGACCATGACATCGATGGTTGCAGAATGCTAGGATCTGGGACCATTCAGTGATCGCTTTTATGGTATAGTGTCAGCAACCATTGTCTTTGGTCGCTAAAACATGCAAAGACCAAATGAAAAAATGTGAGATAAAATTGCGCCAAATCTTTTAGCAACCATGAGATCAATGGTTGCAGAAGGCTAGGATCTGGGACCATTCAGTGGTCGTTTTTGTGGTATAGTGTCAGCAACCATTGCTTTTGGTCGCTAAAACATGCAAAGACCAAATGAAAAAAAGCGGGATAAAATTGCACCAAATCTTTTAGCGACCATGACATCGATGGTTGCAGAAGGCTAGGATCTGGGACCATTCAGTGGTCGCTAGAGTGGGTATCATTAGCGAAAAAAAAATTGTTCTTTTTTTGCACTACCTTTACCAACCAATCAAATGTATGGTCCCAAATTCTCTGAAACAGCTACCATAATTTGGTCGCAATAGAACATAACAAAATTTGTCCAACTTTTCTAGACCAAAACCTATACCCACCATTGCTTGGTTGCTGAACGTGTTTTATAGCAACCATGTTTTATTGGTCGCTAAACTTTTGGTCGGTGGAGCCCATTTTTTTTAGTGGATATATCGATGCAAATTGAATATCTAACAAAAAGGATTCAAAATCTACCATTGGAGGCGGAGCTGTGTCCTGAAAGTCATCTAAGCAAACTTGTATAGCTCAATCCACGATGGAATCATAGTCATTGCTTTAGATATTCCATGTTGGGAAAGTTGGTACGTACGATTAATATCCATTGTGATAATTAATTAGCAATTGAAAGGGCACAAAATAGTATGTATGATAGTAAATCTTGACATATTCATCAGAGACATGATACCATTTAATAGTCATTATCAAATGGTATAATCTT